AGCCTTGGCGCACGTGTGTACGGCGGCGGCGGCGGCGGCGGCGCTTCTCCCGGCACTGCCGCCCCGCGGGAGGGCTTGCAGCACGGGCAGCGGTGAGCCGGCCTTGCCCCGTGTGAGGGGTGCGAGCCAGCCCCCCAGGGAGCCCGCTCGCTGCACTCAGGTACTCCAGGGGAAATGCAGGGCCTTGCTCAGTGCGAGGGATGGGGGTTGCACCCACAGGAGAAAGGCCCCGACTGATCTGCCGCTGGAGCAGGTTCCCTCGGAGCTATGCTGGCACAAGCGACTGCAGAACAGGACTCGATTTGCAGACACGGCGGCCCTTGTGCAGCTACCGCCCGGGTTTTTGAACCAACGGACTGGAAGGATAAGGGGATGAGGCTGGAGGTCCCTGCCCTGTCTGTGAAAGAGCCTGCAATAAACTCAGCCCCAAGGAGATAAACTGGCCTTACCTTGTGCCCTGAGCTGTGGAGCTGGACCCATAGCATTTGGCCTCAAGAGTTGGGCCAGAGCATTGGATGTTGTCTCAGCCACCCGCTGGGGCCAGGGCAAGAGGCATTTCCTTGGTAGCAGTCAGACCACGCAGAGGTTTGGACAGCGCCCCTGGGCTGCGCTCCCAAGCGCAGACAGGCTGTGCAGAGACTAGAGCCCGTGTGTGATGGGATCTGTCCATTCCCATTGCTGCCTGCATCAGCTGGCAGGGGGGTGCATGGCTCAGCTTGGCTCCTGTGCTGCACCCCAGGCTCCCCACCAAGGGGGTAACCCACCCCCAGCAATAGCGACCCAGGCCGGAGCGGGCTCAGCTGCTTCATTTACTCCTATTGGCAAAGCAGGCATGCAAGGAGAATGAACTGGATGGTGTCCTGCCTCCTGCGCTCTCCGTGGATTTGCCTTTGCTGGCTACATTCTCAGACTGCGAGACAGACAAAACACAGCTGGATTTCCACATCCCCAGCTGGATATGCAACATGGGGGGGGGACACGCATCCTTTCTTTTCACTTATAAACCAAGCATGTTTGAAGTGAGAACAATGCTAGACCCCCCCAAGTCATTCTACAATTGCTTTTCCAAACCGACACTTTGAAGAGTGACCGATGAGGGCTGGCACCAGGTGGCACTGTCCCTGGGAAGGAAAAATCCAGCGCTTGGCTGTCTGACAGCTGGACGAGGACACTTCCCTCCCAGCCAGTGACGTTCTGGGGGTGCTCGTCACGAGACTGGCAGGCACGTGACGGGTGCTGGCTTTGCATTTCATAGCGCGCTGTCATGTCCCAGCGGCACGGCCCAGCTCACAGCGGGCAGAGTTCGCAGCTTTCCTGCCGGGCTGCCGCAGGCTCCCCACCGCACGTACTTGACGCGCATGAAATTACTCACGCTGTGTCTGATCTGACTTTGCTGTGAAGAAGCTTTCCTCCCTTTGCTTGCTTGCTTCAAGCATGCAACCGAAACAGGAGTTTGCACGAGCTGGTACCAGGGCCAGGGGCAGAAAACCCGGCAACGTCAGTGCTTAAAAAATAATTTAAAAAAATAAAAAATCAGCGTGTTTATCATTTCTTTGACTGGATAATTGCAAGCTCCTTCCTAGTGCTGTATTCCAAGGTCACTGCAAGCACTTGCTCTCGATCCAGTGACTTCCTAGAAAGAAGCCCAGGCATCTGTTGCAATAGCTAGCTGGTGAAGGGTTCCCTTCTCTCTCTGATCCAGTAGTTAGGAGCTCCCTCTGAATCTGTCTTGCAGTTCTGCACTTTCTCCTCCTTGGATACGAGTCGTCCAGTCCTTGCCAGGCTCTTTGCAGCTGCTCCTGCCCCAAATTCTGGCTCCGTTTGCATGTATGTTGATGCCTGTGCACACAACATGCCTCACCTCAGCACACGCAGTTATCAGGACAGACTGGGCTTGCCACGTGCAGGTGCGCAGGGAGGATCTCTACGTCTCAAGCAGGTTATTCCCAGAGGTTTTCAAGGCAACTCATAGAAACCGGCTGGCACAGCAAATCCCACGTGTAGGCATGTTCACAGGCCTTTCCTGATGCCTGCAGGAGCTCCCAGTAGAGTGGAGAAACCTCAGCACATCGTTTTTTACAGGACTTCTGTTGCGAGGACCTAATTCTGTTTCCTGCAAACAGCCGAAATGAAAGGCTCCCCCCCCCCCTTTTTTTCCTTTTCAGTCCCAGCACTTTAAATTGCTGGACTGAAATGCCCTGCACATGGTTCTCTTCTTTCCAGGCTAACAGAAGCCGGTGTGTTTTAGGACCCTCGTTCCAGTGGTGAGGAGGAGAGAGAAAACCACTGGCAGGAAGGGAAATGTGGTTGAAGAACTGCGGTGGGAGGAAGGCTAGGAGAACGTGGTATCGATGAGGGGTGGGATGAAATGAGCTGTACCCACCTGCAGCTGCCCACTGGGCATGAGAGCGGGTGGGAGGCTCTGCAGGTACTACAGAATAATGGCAGGGACCTCAGGACCATCTCATCTGACCCCAGCACCGATGCAGGAGGCACTGTTTTAACACAGGAAAAGTTAGCTCCACTGTCAGCTGGTTTCCAAGCCGAAACGGTGATGCCAGGTGCGTGCATGCATGCACGTGCAGGCAGCATGTCAGGGGGGAGGCGGTACCATCATGAATGCGATTCAGTCCGTCTCCCCTTCCCAAGTACTGCCCTCCGCGCCCATGCTGATTTATAAATAACTCCAGCACAGTGCAGAAAAGTAATGGGCTTCTCACAGTCCCGTCGCATCCACTTTGCTTTACATTAGAGCAAAGCCAGTGGCATCTTTCTGCATTACAGAGCCTCTGCCTGGCACATCAGCTGCTGCCAGCTCTCTGCACAAGGTACCGCTCTTCCCCCGTGGCTTCTCACCTCTCTATAGGGGCCTGGTGTTAGCTGGAGATAATTAGACTTCAGGGATCCTTGCTGATGTTTGAAACCATTCCTTGTGCCAGCCCTGGGATGGTCTAACTTGAGCATGCTGCAGCGTTCACCTACCCCCACCCCCTTCCAAGCCTTTTTTGGCTTGGGAATCAGTCCTTTGCCCAGTAGATTGTATGTCTAGCGTAGTGAGGTTCCCTCTATGGAAACCACCCACCTTCTAGCATTTTTCTACATCAGTTTTCCATGGCAAGGGCTAAGCAGCTTTTAATGCACAGGTGAAAGGGGCTCCCTTTGGCCTGAGAGCTCTCCTGGAAGCAGCCCACCTCTCTCCAGTAGCAGGTGTCCTTGCAAAGGGGGTGCGGAGGGGCCTAGAGACAGCAGCAGCCTCCTTGCTCCTGGTGACAATAAAAGGCTGTTTGCAGTCCCATTTTCTTGGCACAGGGTCATTTCCAGACATGGAGCTGTTTCATCATCTAGCACAACCTGCCTAACAAAGCTGTCCTTGCAGAAAGAAAACCTCTGTCAGCGAGGGACAGCTCTTCCTTCGGAAACTCGCAGAGCACCAGACTAGGGACTCTGCCTGTCCTGACGTACTTCGCATTGCACCAGACATTTTTTTCTTGAAATGCCTTGAACATAAATGGGCGTGGAGGTATCATGGATCCAGCTTGGGAAATAAGCTATAGCCAAATATACTGTGCCCAGTAAGAGGAAGAGAATGGGATGAAACTTGCACTTAGATGGTTGTGAACTTGCCTCTCTGCTGGATATTATGGAAAGGACAGGTGTGTGTTAGTATCATGGTATTGAAGTGGCTGTGATGGATGTTTTGCATACATTGAAGGGCCAGATTTTGAGACTCTTATTCTGGTTTGGTAGCAGGGTCTCAGGAGCAATACTGTTGATTCAAGAGTAAAGTGAGCCTGAATGGGAACAGGAGTGTCCTGATCTATATGACTCCAGGTGCCAGAGCAAACCATGCCAGAGGTGACCTTGCATGTGCAAGATCTCGTGATGGTTTGCAGTGGAGCATGGCAGTAGCACTGGGTGGTGCATGGGAGTTGGAAAGAAACATGTACGAGACGTGTCTGGGACACTTTTATTGCAAAAGGCAGGGCTTCCTAGCTTTGGTGTCCAGAGAGAAATGGGATCAAGCAGACACAGCCACTTGGGGTCCGGACATCCGCACAGACACGCTAGCAATACTAATCCACGGTGAGAATTTTAAACCACTTGTTCATACAGGATCCGTTTGACCCTGAAAGGAGCAGGCACAGCTTCTACCTCGGGTGGACTGGAGAGACGGGTTGTTATTTCCTGATGAACATCAATTCTGTTTGTCAGCTGGCTCGGGCCGTGCTAGGGGACGGAGTTCCTCCTGCTGGTTTCACCCTTCAGCGGAGAAGTTGGGCTGTCTGTGGGGACCGGCACACCCATGTCCTCCGAACTGGACCGAGCTCTGGTGCTCACGGGCTCCCTGCTGGGGTCTGAACGCTCCCAGTAAGCGCACTCTGCTTTCAGGTCCTGCATGCCAGCGTGCAGCTGTAGTAGCTTCTCCAGCAGCCGCTGGTCCTGGAGCTGCATCTCGGACTGCAGCGGGACATAAGAAGATAGAGGCAGGCTGAGTCTCTAGCACCGCACTAGACCCTGGATCCTGAGCCTGATCTGGTAGAGCAGACGGGCAGACACAGCAGAGCTGATGCAAGGGAAACACCTCATCTAAGCACAGAGGTGCTTTCTGAACCCCCCCAGCCCTTGACTTCTTCCTGCCTTGTTTGTTGTCCTAGGCCAACTAGATATCTGAAGATAGCAACTGCATGAAGGGGCCAGCGAGGACAAGGAGAGGGGCTGCAGACAGAGAGACATAAGGGGCACGGGGTGAAGGGTTGCTGAACACATCTCGTGTGTTGAAGGGTGGGGAAAAGAAACTTTTACAAGATGAAGGGACAGGTGGGAAAGACCCTCTGCTTTCAAGAGGAGCCTGGGTTTGATGATTGCATCTTATGCCACGTCTTTGCACCAGAAGTGCTCTCACCAAACTCATCTACAGCAGTGGTTTTCAATCTGCAGTCCACGCGGGGTCCAAGGACTGTCTAAGGGGTCCATGGAAGTTGACTATGGTCAATTAAAAGTATGTGAATACCTACTCTTACAATTCAAAGGGGTGCACACCTACACTCAAAATTTCCAAAAAGATCCAGAAATGAAAAAAAAGGTTGCAAATCACTGGGCTAAAGGAACCAGCCTAATTCAGGCATAGCTGCATTGATATTAAGGGTGTGGTATCAGTACAGCCATCAGAAATATCATCAGTATAAGTGAACAGGCTATCTGAGCGTAAGGCGCATTTATGCTGATGTAAAGGTGCCCACGCTGGCACTTCTGCTGATTTAGCTACTTGCGGAGAGAAACTGTACCCCTCGCCTGAGCAGCTCAGCTGGGCTGAAACGCGAGAGGCCGGAGCCTGAACATCAGCTGCCCCTGCCCACAGGGCGAGAGCACAAGTGAACATGGAAAGGGAACGCAGAAAGCAACTCAGCGGACCAGAGAGGCGAAATCAGGGAGATGGCATACCTGAGAGAGTCAGGAAAGAATCAGCCCATTTGTAACCCTGCATGGCTGCAGGCTGAGTCTTACAGAGACTGGTACCGCACAGACACTGAGGAAGAGGAAATCCCCGTCTCAGAGGCCTTGCCAGACAGTGGAGGGGAAAAAAGCCCCATTTTACAGGTCAGGAAACTGAGGCAAGGAGGGATCAGAGGACTTTCCCAAGGTCACCTGGCGAGTCTGGTGCCAGGCAGATTCACCTGTGCAACAGCCCTGATGCTAGGACCTTTCCTAGCTCCGCAGCCCCCAGAGA